CCGCCCCGCGCGGGGACCGTGTGCGCCCCGAGCGCAGCACAATAGCCGGGAGGAGGAGACAGGGAAAGGGGCAGGGGGAGAGGAGGAGAGAGAAAGAGAAAGCACAACACGGGGGCTGGCGAGGCAGCGCGGAGCGGAGGGCTCCGGAGCGTGGCCGCGCTGAGGACCGTGTCCAGGACGGCGGCGACAGGAGGTGGGTGGGGGGCGATATTTACCTTCCCTCCCCCGCCCCGAGCCCGCTCCTTTGTCCACGCGCTTTGAAGTGCTGGGGGATCGCCGGGGTGGGAGCATTGTTGTTCGCCAGCAAACGATCAGTCATGCCGGGGAGAGAGTAGCGAGTGTACGCGGGGCTGGGGCCGGCAGAAGCAGAAGCGGACGGGGAGGAGAGAGGATTGCGAGAGAGGATTGCTGTCTGCCTCCCAGTGCCCTGCATGGACCGCGAAAGAGACGCGCTGAGTTGACCCTGCCCGAGCTGTTTCTGCTTCTGCATGTGAGATCCGGTTGGTTTTTTCTTTCCACCTCTTTCTCTCCAGCCTTCTTCTCGTGTTCTTCACTTACTCCCGTATGCAAAATGGTGGACCCTGTGGGGTTTGTAGAGGCTTGGAAAGCACAATTTGCAGACTCTGAGCCTCCTAAAATGGAGCTGAAATCTGTGGGAGACATTGAACAGGAACTGGAGATGTGCAAAGCATCTATCCGGAGACTGGAGATGGAGGTTAACAAGGAGAGGTTCCGCATGATTTACCTGCAGACTCTTCTGGCAAAGGAGAAAAAAAGCTATGATAGGCAGAGATGGGGTTTTAAACGTGTTTCTCAGTTGCCTGAAGGGGGTGCAGAGCAGCAGATCCAGGACCTGCATCGTCACCAATCTGCTGACCAAGATGAATATGAAAAAAGCAAGTCACATCATGGGGAGGAAAAGTTTAAACCCAGGATACCCTCTATGCGGAAGCTGTCTACCCAGAGTGATGGGTCAGACCTGTCACCTTTGGACAGCCCCCACCATGGAGAAGGAGAGCAGGACAGGTGTAAGTACTACGGCGAGGAGAAACTGAAGAGAGTTGTGGAAGACATGGAGAATCGCTGTGATACAGATGGCTCTCCTTCAAAGCACAGATCAGCTTCCACCCGCAGACTGGTGGGATCTGCCGAGAAGGAGGGGTCATTTGAACCTAAGGAGAGAGGGAACAGCACCAGTGTGGCAGCCCTAAGGTCCAATTTTGAGAGAATGAAAAAGGTTAATTCGCATTCTTCTGGAGATAACAAGGATGTTGTTGAAAAGCCCTTTTATGTGAACATGGAGTATCATCATGAGAAGGGTCTAGTAAAGGTCAACGATAAAGATGTTTCCGATAAAATAAGCTCCCTTGGTAGCCAAGCCATGCAAATGGAACGCAAAAAGTCTTTGCACTCCCTCCCTTCTAACATGGTACCCAGCTTCAGCGAGTTCCAGAGGCCTGCCTACAGGGGAAGGTCCTCAGAGAGCAGCTTTGGCTATGATGGAGAATATGAGGATGCTGAACTGAACCCCAAGTTTCTTAAAGATAACCTGATTAATGCCAATGGCAGCAACCGCTCACCTTGGCAGCCCATGGACTTTCAGCCGTATCAGAGTATCTACGTTGGTGGAATGATGGGGGAAGGAGAAGGAAAAGGACCTATTCTGCGAAATCAGGGCCAGCCTGACCAGGAAAAACATCTCACGTGGCCCAGGAGATCTTACTCCCCCAGGAGTTTTGAAGATATTGGAGGAGGATATACTCCTGATTGTAGCTCTAATGAGAACCTTACCTCCAGTGAGGAAGACTTCTCCTCAGGACAGTCCAGCCATGTCTCCCCCAGCCCCACCACTTACCGCATGTATCGGGATAAAAGCCGTTCCCCCTCCCAGAACTCTCAGCAGTCCTTTGACAGCAGCAGCCCGCCAACCCCCCAGTCTCAGAAACGGCACCGGCAGCAGCAGGTCATCGTGTCTGAGGCCACCATTGTGGGTGTACGAAAAACAGGGCAGATCTGGCCAAGTGATGGGGATTTGCCCTCTGGGAGATGTCACCAGGACAGCTGTTTCCACGGGGATACAGGTGTGTACCAGCTTTTTGCTTAGTCTTTTAAATGTATAGAGCAGGGAATGGCATCATGGAAATGAATGGGAGACCCTGGGTGAATCACTGTGAGGGGACAGTTGTTTCATGTGAGAATTCTGTGTTTAATTTGTAGTTTTGCTGTTTTAGGAAGATCCTACAGAAGTGAATGTCAGCCTGCATTTTAGGAATTCAATCTGGATTCCCAGAAGGGTTGATTCAGGCTTCTCTTGAGAGGATCAGTGGAGTCCTATATTAATTATTTCTTAAAGTTTCAGTCTGAACACTGAGGTAAAAAGGCCAGAACTTCACCAGGTATTCACCATCTGTGGTGAATTCACCACCAGTTTATTCCCTCCCTCATACTTGTGCACTATGGAGTGGTTAAACTCTACCTCAGAGGTGGTAGTGTGCCAACAAGCCACAACCTGAGGGTTTTGCCAGAGCTTTACCGATAATGATGCTGCTCCCACAGTCTTGTTTTTTCCTGTCTGTATTAATTGCAGTGCTAGTTTCTCGTTCTGTCTCGTGTCAGCCTTCAATTAGAGCTGATTGGAGGTGATGATTGTGCAGCTCTGTTCTTGGAGCTTTCTGCTATCTGTGAGTGAAGGAAGAACTTGGAATATCAGGAAGCCCTGAGGGAAAAAATGTTAACTAAATTTCAGCAGAATAAAACTTTTCATTTGGGGAAGAATGGGCAATGTTTGAACCCATTCTTATGTAAGTCATTCAGGCATGGAGGTGTGTCTGTGGAATCACAGTGAGTTTATAGGTAGAAGAGGCATATGAGGAATTACATTAGTTCAGATGGATTTTTTTGAATGCATGTGGATGTCTGAACCTATTTAGCAAGGCATGTAATGTAAACAGTATCTTTGCTAACACCAGCAGTCTCCTAAATGCAAATGAAAATCAAATCCAGGAATGAAGAAAATAGGAATGTTTGTTTTGACAGATTTCTTTAATTACAAATCTGTGAGTTCTCTCATGGGTTTTCTTTGTCTCTTTGAATCTCTCATTTTAATAAGGGATTAACATGTTATTTGTCAATGGGACCAAATTCCTGTAGTATTGGGTGAATTCAGAGGCCTGTCAGAGATGTCACTTTCTCAGGTTGTGAGAGTTTGCTCTATTACTTCTCAGAAGAGTAACTTTCCTCAAAGGAGATGCCCTGGTTTTACTTTCCCTGCTGATTGTTTTTGTCAGCAGTATTTTTGGGGGCAGCAATGGAGGGACAGCTCTTCTGTGCCCTGGTGCCATCCTCTTACCCATTGTCTTACTGGAAAGCTGGACAGTTGTAGTGGATGTTCAATGTACATGGAAGCTCTGCACCTCCTCACAGTGACTTCTCCCTTATCAGATTGGATGTACATCCCTGTTTTCTCTCTGGGACTGCTGCATTCTTCCTGGGTTTTAGGGGAGAGGCTGAGTCTTGTGCTCATTTGAACTGAGCTCAGCCATCTGTCTCTGCTCTTGTTTACTGATGCTCTTTAGATGACTGGGAAGCCTCCTGGCAATTTCAGTTTTTGCAGAGGGAAACAAAGGGGTAAAAATAACAAAGGTTGATAAAGCTTGAGGATAAATTCAGCTTTCAAAAAGGCAGTGGATAATTTTTATTTTAAATAATTTAGCTGGGATGCAGTGATAAAAAAAAAAGGCAGCTGGAAAGTCAGAACACTTATAATTCCTAGATGTGCTGGAAAGCTTTGTGTCGTGTTCCGAAGGATGACCAGACATTTCAGGCAAGGACAGAATGTAACTGATCCACCTTCTGCTTTCCTCAGCTCAGGGGGTGACATGGCAAGCTTAGCAGGAACTTTCACCAGATGGCTAATCAGTACCGTCTTGCACATTAGCTGGTGGCAACTTTTTACTTCACCAAAAAGGCTTATGCCTTCAGGAGGACTGTGTTTCTGATTAATTCCTACTGAGCATTTTAGAGGAATTTTCTTTCTTTCCCAATTGGGATGATTTTTGATCTGAAACCAGTTGGCAGAACCTCCTTTTCATAAAACAAACAAAAGGCCTGAGAGACCACTGTGTGATTCTCTGGCTGGCTCCCATTCCCAGCTACCCTGCTCTGATGCAGGCTGTTCTCCATGACCATGTGATACCAAAGCCATTCACAGATCCAGACAGATTTTCCAGCACCTGTGGTTCAGTCACTGGTTCTGCCAGGCTTTCCTAAAGTTTTGCTTGAACAGAGTGCAAGTTTGAATCACAGTAGGTTCTGGCCAGCCTTAATGTTAATTAGCATCAAGTGGGGTTTATTCAATTTCCCTGTGTATTCAGATTGTTGTGTGTTTTCTGGCTTTGCCTTTGATCACTCTTCCCATAGTAAAACTGAGTGTGCTGTGGACAGGTGCAATGTGAAATTTCCATCTGGATCTGTCCCAGTGCACCTTGAGCTTGGCCAGCAGACATGGGCTGTTCTGTCCAAATTATTTCATGAGTTCACAGTTAAGTGATGTTTTCCTGATTTTGTATTACAAAAGAAGGACATAACTCTCAAGTGGATGGGGTCTGAGCCAAAACTTGAATCTGGGTTTTTGGAGGTAGATATCAAAAACCTTAAAGCAAACCAAGGTGTAGTAGGCTTTCAGTTTTTTTCCAAGAAGCAGTGTGAGAGCTTCAGGGTTGAGATTTGGTAATTGCTGTACTCTCGATTAAATGTACTTAATGGAGCCTGGGCAAAGATAGTGATATTAGGATTAATTATGTATCACTAATTTCCTGTAGTGGGAATAGAAAAAAAATCACATTTTAACTTTGCATTAAGCTTGAATATCTTTACTATGATTATGAAGAAAGAACAAGATTTTTAAAATTCTGCCTTCTGTTAAATGCTGCAGAAATAGATGTGAGAAAAGCCACTCATTGTACATTTCTGCTTATGGTCAAGGGGAAAGTTGCACAGTTCTGGTATGGAATGATGGGATCTTGCAATGGCCTCAGCTGGGACGGTTTTTAACTAACAGCAGTTTGTTAATGAAGATCACACTGGAGCTGTTGCATGGCTTTGGAGCTTGCTGCATAAAATCAGTGCTCTCACTCTGTGTGAAATGATTTTATCTGTCTTCATAATAACATGGAAACTATGTGGAGTCCACATAAATAACATTTACCTGCGCAGGTGCTTCCCTCAAGGTGCCCCAGAAGTAACTTCTGTTCAGGTGACAAGTGGTGCTCTGAGAGAGTCGTGCCAGGCTCTTTCTTTAGACAGCCACCAACAGCCACAGTGCTCAATATGAGGTCAGTCTGGGGATATGTGTCATTTAATTCCATTGGAGTGAAGTTTTAACTTACTTTAGCCTTCAGTAAATGTGGGAGTTCTGAATGTCCCTTTCTGGAGAGCATTTTCTGTCTTTTTATGAGTTTAATGTACAGAGGGGAGAGAGCAGTGCAATTTATGCATGTGAACTGCAGACCTCACAATTCCTGTTATGTCAGCAAAAGGCCATTTTAAAACTCCTGCTTACCTAGAGCTGTAGGTTCTTCAGTTTTTGTGTACCTTAAATGCCCAAGCAGATAAGCAAGCATCTGTTTTTCCTGCTTTTAAGGCAAACTTTTACTTATTTGTAAAGCCCCAAGAAAGCATGTAGTGTGTCATATTGGAAGGACCTTGTTCTGTACCAGTTTCTGAAAGGGTTTGCTTCTTGAGATATTTGCATCTTCTGAGATCTTAGACAAATTTCTTAACTCTGCACTTCATCCACCCAGTGTTGTATTCTGTGAATTCAGCTTTGAGATGTCGTTTGAAAAGTTCTTTGCGGGATTTTGCAGACTTCTGAGGCAACAATGCCAGTCCTGTTGCTGTTGTTCAGAAGCAAAACTTCCCTTTGAGCAGCTGAGACAGACTTCAGTCCACTTTGTAGATTCTTCCTTCTGAGGAGCTGCAATGTAGGAACTTTTATAATATGCAGACTGATTGTTAATTTTAAGGCCTGCTGGCCACAGGTCCTGCTTTCCATCTGTGATTTACATTGGATCAATAATGGTTTAAATTTTCCTGACACTTGTTTGGTTCATTTTGCTATTACTTCTTAAACATGTTTTAATTCTTCCCTGTGATGATCAGTGATTTCCTAGGAGCACTGATGCCAGGATGCTGTTTCAGTGCAACCCCCCACCCTGCCTTGCTTTTCAGTGATTTAGTGGCTTTTGAGATTTTGGAGATTATCAGGATGCTTGCATTACCACTCCCCTCTTTTTAGTCTGGGAGAGTGAAGAGCTCCCTCTCTTCCAGATTTCTCTTTTCCTCCAGCAGAGTTTAATGGAATCTCTGGAGCTGCTTTATGTCCCCAGTGATTATAGTGGACTCTGAAGTGCTTGTTTTGTTCCTTCTTCCACAGAGAGTTACGAATGTTTACCTCAGACCTGACAGAAATAATAGTATGTAGGTAGATTTTATTTTTTTCTTTTCTTAGGTTCACCCTAGATCAGGTACTTCTGCAGTCACAAAGCACCTGCCTTTGAAATGGGAGTGTGAACCAATCCACACAGTAGTTGTCTGGTACTGGGGAGCCCTGGAGACTGCTGGTGTCTCCTCATCTGACTGTGTGAAGCTCATTTTCATGGTCCATGACAGGGAGATCAAAGTGGGACTGCCTTTCCTTGGAGTAAGCAGACAGAGAGCTGGAAATTCTGCAAGTAGTGTGTGAGAGAGCTGCTTGTCCTCCCTGCACCCTTACCAAGAGTTTAAAGGGGTCTCTGGCAGTGGCAGTGAGATTACTTTGTGCAGCTGCCACTGCTGCAGGTTGGCTTGGGCCTGTTGGAGGCAGCCAGTGGACTTTGGCTGGGCAGGTAAAATGTATTCCCAGTGCAAACTTCAAGTTTGGGAGTGGTGTAGGAACTCAGCTAGCACCAAGCAGCCCCAGAGCCACAGGATATCCATATCCATCCTTAGTGTGATGGGCACAGACTGGAATGCTGTGCTGGGTACAAAACAGTCAGACCCAGCTGATTCCAGCTGAGTGATTTCACAGAGCCAGGGCCTCCAG